TTTTTTTTTTTTCTTTGGTACAAGGGATCAAAGTCTGGACCTTATGCAGGCGGCAGAACCATTGAGCTAAATCTCTGGCAGGCTTTTGTTTTTTTAAATAATGTCTTACTGTGTAGTCCAGGCTGGTCTCAAACTCAATCCTCCTGCCTCAGCCTCCTGAGTACTGCCATTACAGGCGTGCATCACCACACTTGGTGCTGAAAGTATTCTTAATTGGTATAATTAATTGATATGGGTTCAATATTCTGGAAGCAGTAAAGCAAGAGAGTTTAATATTTCTTACTAATGATCCAGATGTGGTGACGCACGCCTGTAATCCCAGCAGTTGGGAGGCTGAGGCAGGAAGACTGCTGCGAATCAAGGCCAGCCTGGGCTACATAGTTAATTTAAGGTCAACCTGAACTACATAGCAGGTCTCAAAAACCAAACAAACAAACAAAAACCCAAACCAAATTTTGACTAATCTATACATGAAATTATACATTATTTTCCAGGGATTATTTTTGGATCCTTTTTGTACATAAAAACTCACAAGGAAATAATTTAAAATGATAGAATTTATTTCAATATAATTACATATATATGTGCTCACGTATACTATTTTAAAAATAAGCCAGTAAATCATAAGTGTTATGAAACACAAATCAGCTCTAATTTAATATTACCAGAGTAAAAGACAATGTGTAGAAGTTAGTCTAACATTGTTGCACTTGCCTTTAAAGTGAGGATACATAAAAGATTTAGTGCATTGAAGTTTATCTTGTTTCGTGTTATCATCATTAAAATAAAAATACCCTTAGGCATGTGCCCCCTTATAGCGTACGTCCAAACCACTACAATCTCTGAACTCTTAGTAAAGTACCATTAAGTCACCTAAAATGAGTCATCTAAAAAAACACTAGCCTAAATTAAAACCCTGAGGAATTAAACTGTTTACACAATAGTTTTGGTTAAGTGCAATTCCATGTGTGGAAGGTCTACTTTATTTAAGGTCATACTTGGTAAGGCATAGGAAAAATAAAGTCTACCTAAGTAACGATCTAAACTAGGTCCATGTCTTGCTACAAAGTGGTTTTGTGTCCCTAAAAACGAGCTTCCGCTCCTCCTCCTGGTCCTCTGCTGAGGCTGCTTTCCTTCCCGGGGGCCCTGTGCCAGGTCTGTGCCAGGTCTGTGCACAGCGGCCCAGACGGACCGACAGCGCTACGTGCAGTCCAGCTCCTGCCCGTGCTCCACCATGGCCTTCATGAACTGCTTGAAGACGCGGTCCATGTACGTGCACTGCCTGGGCCAGATCCCCTCCAGAAAGCCGATGTGGCCTCCGTAGGACGTCAGGACCAAGGCGACATTGGGGTTCTGCTTTGCAGTCTCTATGGGAATGGCTGGAGGGGATAACGGGGCACCATAACAGGGGTGGGGGGAGAAGAACCATTACTATCTTGTTAGGAAAGGTATACAACTTCATCATTTTTCTTTTGAGACAAGGCCTCACTATGTAGCCCAAATTTAAAATCTTCCTAAACTGGGCGTGATGGCACACCCCTGTAATCCCAGCACTCAGGAGGCTGAGGCAGGAGGATTGCTGTGAATTTGAGACCAGCCTGGGCTACACAGTGAGTTCCAGGTCAGTCTACATAGTGAGACCCTGTCTCAAAACAAAACAAAACAAAAAAAACCTTAAAATCTTCCTGCTTCAGCCTCCAGGTGCTAGGATTACAGGTGTGCACCTCCATGCCCACCTCTAGAATTTCTAATCAATATAAACCTAAACCCCGTTAAACAAATACTTGTAGTGAGTATGGCTAAATGGAATGAGTCTAATTTACATCAACCATCTATATTCTTGTCAGAGGTCACATTTACAGTATGACTAGACTATCATTTTGGGAAGAAGCAATCTAAGATTTAATAATACAAAAGCATACGCTGAGTCTTGTTTTGAAAAGTTGAAATGTGGCACGTCTGTAAGTCTAGCACTCAGGAGGCTGAGGCAGGAGGGTCGCCAAGAGTTTGGGGCCAGCATGGGCTACACAGTGAGTTCAAGGCCAGCCTGCACTATAAAGTGAAACCCTATCTCAAAAAACAAAACAGAACAACAACAAAAGAATCTTGGCACCTTTGTGGGAGTTGTAAATTCATTATGTACAATCTGGTTAGTTTTGTGTGAAGTTACATTTCTGAAGTCAACTGCTGGCTGCATGAAGGGTTCAAAATTGTAAATATAAACCGAGCATGGTGGTAAGAATACGAATTGAAGTGTCTTATTTTCCCCTCTTGCTTAAAGTTCACACCCTCATTCTTGGGGCCCCGAGTGGGCAGTGGGGATGGAGCCAGTCCTTGCCCGCTCCGAAGGCTGCGCTGCCGGGCTCCGCCCTGCCCTCCAGCCCTCTAACCGCCCCCAGGACAAAGCCTGTGCCTCTGGGCCCTCAGTTCTGGCAGAGGGAAGACAATCACACACTTCTTCCGGGCGGCCAGGCCTTGGGAGGGCTTGGAAAGAAAAGAATGCGTTTCAGCTTCACCCAACCGGGTCAGGTTAAATGTTGGAAATTTCTGTTGGCAGGCGGCCAGGGGAATGGAAAAAAACGGACCGGGCAACTCAGCCTTCCTGGGTCCCAAGAGCACGCACTGAACAATCGCTTGGCTGAGGACTGGAGTGCTGGCTAAAATGACCTGTGATTCAGTAAGATCTCCCGAGAAATGATGGTGATTGTACACGGCGTACCTTTGGGGGATTTTCTGAAATTTTTACAGATGTATGTATTTTATGTTCATAGCCAGAATAATTTGCTTTTCAGGGCTAGGGATGGAATCAAGGGACTCCTTGGTGCTAGAGAAGCCCTCAACCACCCCCAACCACTGGGCTGCACCCCGGCCGAGTGGATTTTTTTGTTGTTGTTGGTACCAGGGATCGAACTCAGGACCTTGCGCTTTTGAGGCAGGCTGCGGAACCACTGAGCTAAATCCCCAGCCCAGGAACACGCTTTTAACCATGTTAGAAGGGAGAGCTGGGGCTTAGTTCAGTGGCAGAACACTTGCCGATCGTATGTGGGGTCCAAGTTGTATTCCCCAGGACGGCAAAAAATAAAAATACACCAAACAATACTCAGGGGGAAGAAAGTAAGGGAAAAACACTTCATAGAATTCTTTGTGAAGTTTCAGTAAAATGAAGTCAGGGGCCAAACCTATTGAACCTGAGTCACATGATTTCTTCTATTCATTCTGCTCCACTAGATGAGGGCATGGGGAAATAAAATAAAATAAAATAAAGCCAGCCCAGGCTACACAGGGAAGGGAGTTCAAGGCCAGCCTGTACCATACAGACAGACCCTGTCTCAGAAAACCAAAATGAAGCTGGGCATGGTCATGTGCCTGTAATCCCAGCACTCTGGGAGGCTGAGACAGGAGGGTTGCCTCAAATGTGAACCCACCTTGTGCATTTTAGTAATTCAGTGAGACACTACCTCAAAAATTAAAGATAAAACAGGCTGGGGATGTAGCTCAGTGTGAAGACCCTTAGCTCAATCTCTGGTACTGCAAAAACAAATGAACGAACAACTCCAAAAACAAATGAGAGGGCCGGGGATTTGGCTCAGTGGTTCTGCTGCCTACCTCACAAGTGCAAGGGCCCAAGTTCGATTCCCGGTACTGTCAGGGAATTGATCATGTTAAAGTATGCTGTGACACCGCCTCACAGGCTGCATTCTCCTGGTACATCTTGGCTCCTAAAATGACCTCATGCCCTTATCTCTGGTTTCCCTCCCCCGCAAGGCCACAGTGGTCCAGGAAAGTTGAAATCTGTGTCTGCAGGACTGGGCCCATAAAAAGCAATCTGGCCTGTGATAGGTTAAAAGTAGCTCACTCCTCATAAATAAGCAATAGCCCACCCCAAACTGATAAAAGGACCTTCCTTTCTTTGTTCTTCTCTCTCCTTCTGCTTCTTCTTCCTCCTCCTCTCTCTCTCTCTCT